ACTTTCTGACTTTCCTGACTCAGATCAAGTGGGTTTAGTAGCAAACCAGGGGTTTCGCCATGATCCACCAGGAGGGTGTCTTCAAAACCTTGGACTACTGTGATCTACTGATAGATATAATTGTTTCTGGTACCTATATACAGGACCTGGCGTGGAGGGATTGAGACCTTCATACATTTGCTGTCAACATGTCCAGTATAAGAGACATCACGAGTGATGTATTACTATTATTATTATTATTTATATTATTTATTAACTTCAGGTACAATATAAAATATAGAATATAGACAGAGTAAAAATTATTGACTTTTGTGGTTTCCAATTTTTACGCATTGCTTTCTGTTTAGCAGGTAACTCTGAAACAGCTTTAGGGTTGTTCCTCTTATACCTATGTTTTCGAGTGATTTAAGAAGGAGTGGGTGGCTAACTGTGTCAAAAGCCTTTGACAGGTCTATGAAGTTACATAGAGATGCCTTCTTGTTATCCATAGCAGAATACATTTCAGTTATTAGGTCTAGGACAGCATCTTGGGTCGACACACCTTCTCGAAAACCATATTGTCTACAGGAAAGAATGTTATATTTCCGGCACTCCTATGGTACTGTCGAGACACCAACATCAAATCCGTTTTGCAGAGCAAAACCTTTCCAACCCTTCATGTAATTAAAGCAATCAACCTGATATAATGATATGATATGATATGAAGCTCTGCCCCCTATCATACCCTGAAGTTGCTGGATTCTATCCAGAAAAGAGTCTGATTGGAGACGCGAACATCACGTCCAACTTGATAGCCTGGAACATCTCTTCTATAGATACTTTCACGGACGGTGTTCAAGTGACTTGGCACATTCAATTTCACCGAGAGCGGTACACATCAGAAGTACGCGACGGACTGTGGCTGCTCATCGTTTCGAGGTTCAACTCAGTACACCTCGAACTTCGCTGTTCAAGAACTCTTTCATATAGAGAACTGCGTTTTCCCAAATGGATTTAATCTTCAGCGAATCCAATCCAATGTGAATCGTTACTTTTGCACAGACACCGCTCTAAGAGCGCCTTAAGGATTTTCCTGTAGTGCTTGTGTTTCGTCTTTTTTTAAAAAACAAAAAGAAAGTGGAAAACTGTAAATCCAATTTGCAAAGAAAAATATTCTTCATATATACTGTGCGGAATAATGTATTATCAGTTGATGCTTCTACTAATGAAGAGTTTCATTTGAACAATTGTTATTAACATTTTTGATAAGCAATATTCTCTCATCGAATAACCTAACCTTCAACCAAAGTAAGTCGGATGGAACAGTTTTAATGAACCTTGGAGACATGTTTTCTTCATGCAACCGCCTTCAAGAAAATTACTCGATGATATATCTACACAAACAATTACTCCGTCAGGATTTCTTAGTTTTCGAAGCGTAATCGTTTTCTAGATAGGTACTTACAGTCCTCATAAAATAAAATTGCCCATCGTTACCGTCCATCATAAAATTTATCATCTGATAAAAAGTAATCCCGTAATTGATAAATTTTATCGACAATTAGAATCCATAAATTTTTGACTGCGATCGTAAGGAATTTATGTCCCTTTTTCAAATTACGATAGGCTGGGTAGAGTTTTTAACAATCGCAGAACAATTGGAGAAAGTGATATGATTGTAAGCGATTAATACATTTATTCTCCAGTGAGTTTAATTTGCTCAGTGATGTATCTTCCATATCTTATTTTTTCGACAGACAAACTTATATTATCTGTATTCACAAGCAGATGAAATTTCCAGATTTCATCAAGGATCAACGTGAGTGGATCAAATAAACCCACTCAGTTTAGACCTAACCTAACCTAACCTGTGTATCAACTAACCAAACCCCTTAAATTGAAAGAGGTCAACCCCACACAAACCATACGAATGTCGTTTAATGTTATTCTGAATTTTCTGTGCAAGCTTAGCTTCACCCTGTACCAGAGCAGGGCCATAAATAATGTCGCAATATCAGTGTTCCACAACGTTTCAATTTGAGAATAGACCTCATTATATTTGTAACCAGAAATAGCTGAGCAGTTATGTGCTTCTAGAATCTAAGATCAACGTTCAGCCATATTTCCAGATTTTTGCCACATTCGTCCCACGATACCCAAATCTCATGTTGGTTAACCCTTCAATTTCCATCTTTTTGATTTTTGATTCAAAAAATCAGTTTCCACCTGTTTCTGTTCAAAATGAGGTTGTAGGTTTAGACCAGGGGTCTAAACCTACAACCTCAGCGGGCTGGCCCGCGACAGCCAATANGTCACGCACTTTGCGACTATCCTAGTCTAGAAATATAGTTAAGGGCAGTAATTGGCCCTTGGAACAAACTGAAAAAATCATTATGGCCCGAAGGCTTCAAAGTTTGGAGACCCCTGGTTTAGACTGATGTTTTTGACTCTTTTTTGTCAGTTTTCACAGGTGATAATAAGTACTTAACGTAGCTGAGTATCATTAAAATAATATCGATGATCGATAATTTGATGGAAGTCACATATGTTTATAAAAAAATAATGGAGGCTAATACTGATACCTTGCGGAACCCCAAAATCCACAGGCGAAGCACAGTTATGTAACATCATAAGTTCCATCATCATTTCCAAAGAAAGGTGAGTTTTCTAGAACCTTTGGTCTGAAGTATCAAATGCCTCAGTTTAACCAAGAAGTACCATTCTAGTAAATATATTGTCATCCGTTGGTTCAAATATATCTTGATTTATTCTGATAAGACCAGAGATAGGGCTATGGTATAGTCGAAATGAAGACTGAACGTTACTATTGATACAAAAAAAAGGGATGAGTCTTAAGACACTTGCCCCAAGGCTCTTCAGTACCAAATTGGATAACATTATAGAAAATACACACACTTCATTCATGAATTACGATTTTTTAATGTCACGGAATAAGCTTGATCTGCTTATGTCATCGATGACATCGTAATGACATTCATTCACGTATTTGATTTAATCCCGGCCAAGAGGAATCTTATTTGAATTGAAGGGGTTATATTTTTAGAATGATCTTCAATTCAATAGCGTCTTCTTTCCACATGAAAAAAACATTATAATATCGGAAAATGTGGGTATAGTGCCTAAAGGGATAATTTTCGGCACATATGTATAAGTGACATATTATTATGTACCAAAGCAATTAATCTTCATCTTCAGTCGAGAGCCTGTTGGTGCGTGTTTTCATGGAATTGTTGGAGTGTGACAGAAATGAAGTTTGATGGAATTTTTTAAAGTGATATGTGGAGATCCGTTTTGATAGGAGTCAATTTCATTTGAATTGTTTGAATAATATTGTCAGACGAATATATCAATCAATACCTATTATAAAGTCCCTTGCCGTTACTGATTTAAGAAAACAGTTCAACTGGTGTTTCAATTACGAAAAAATTAAAAGAAATCGACGGTTCATGCTTTGAAACCCCCACTAGAGAGTAGCCCATACATACAAAAAAGAACTTGAGTAGTTCACTATGACCTAAAATGTTCCGGGATATTCCCGAACTATTCCCGAACATTCCAAAAAGTTCCAAAATGTTGTGGAATGCTTTCGAATACTCTGTACTTCTGTACTGTTCGACGAGTTTCTGAAAGGCCTAATTGTACGTCTTTCAAGTGAAAACGTAAATTTTCTCATGGAAAATCTGATGTGTTTCCTGCTACTATGATTCCAGCTCAATTTTGAACGAATCAATTAAGTTTTCACTTTCAAACATCGTTGAAATAGATGAAGGCCATAAAACTAGAACATTTCGTATATACCGTTACCATCGGATTTTATCTCTCAAAAGATAACGATTAAACTTATCTCAACAGATGTTAAACATATGAAGATCAACGAAAACGAACAATTTGCTTATTTTTCCTGAAGTCAATTCCTCATGATCACAACTTGTCCTGGTAAAATAATCCGAAATGATGACTGTCGAAACCGAAACAGTGTAAATTTTTGTTTATTTTATATCGGTCATAAACTAAATCTCGAAATAATTGATATTGCACTCACAGAAGAAGGTACTTGATGCTAATGTCTAATTATACACTGAGAATTTTTTTTATCGTCAACACAATTTACCCAGATATATATTACAATTATGCCTCTGTGGTTGTTCCAATCAAATTGATACGTTTTCAAGCTGTGAGTTGATGAAATTGGTGTAGAAAAACTGGAAAAAAGTTTCATGAAGATTCATATTTTGAGATGTTTTTCCTGATGATCCTCTTAACATGAATCCTCTAGGATCAGAAAAAGAGGAATAATAATTGATGTAGTACAATGAATAAAGAAGAAAAACTACAACAGCCAACAAAAAAAGCATTGAAACAATATGAAAGTAATATAGTATTGTCAAATACAGTTCCAATCTCAATCGTTTGTTTCTGATACTGAATGAATAAAATGGAATTCGTACATTGGTAAATAGTGTTTAGAATGTTACTGAAAAAGATTAATTTGAAGTAAACCTGATTCAGTAGGTATTCCTTTCGAGTTTAGGATCTTTTTCGAAACAGAATTCCAATAACAAAAAGGTTTGTGAAAATACTACCTAAAGCATACTATGGAATAGTATAGAAGTAGATCAATAGTCTAGTTCAAATTTTTTTCGTCGAAATGAAAATGAACGAGTCAAACCCTATTTTCAGTAACGCAACCTATGAGACATAAACCAGTTTCAACTCTACTGAGCCCTCCCTAAATGAAGTTTATTTATTGTGATGAGAAATACTCCCCGTTGTTATTCTGCGCACTGAGAGGTTAATGAAATAAGGAGTTGGTCATTGACCACATCTATCGCACAAAAACGATATTGGTCCTTCGAGCCGGATCGATGTTATTGCTGCATAAAAATACTTTACAAACACTTTCAATCATCAACTCTGGCATATCATTACGAGTATTGTTTCTTGATGATAATAGCAATTATAGAGTAAGGAAAGTAAGAAAACTCAAACGAACTCACAACGTTTCAGCTTCTCCAGTGGTTCGTGGTGCAGGGACGGCGTATGGGGCACCACCCCGTGGTGATGCGACGTCTCGTGCGAAGTCACGTGGTGCCCGAGGACCGACGAAGACGCTCCGGACATGATTCCGGAGATGGCGGAACTGGCCGACACCGCCGTGTCGTGGAGGTGGTGGTGCCCATGCAGGTCGGACGCTGAGGATGTAGTCACACCGGTGACGAGATCTTGGAGGCAGAGCTGCGAGTCTGAGAGTGATTCCAGGCGCTCCATGGCGAGGTCGGTAGTTTCGTAGATTGTTGCTTTTGGTGCTTCCTAGCCGTGGTGGGTTATTTTCATATTTCTTTGGCTGAAACTGAAACGAATTCATCAGGTATGTATTCTGTTTCTGCTCAGCTTGTCAATATTTTTGTTTTTTTGTTTCGACTATTCCTTTGCCTATGACATGTCTTATGGAAATAAATATTATTATTATATTATTGACGGTGGTAGATTTCAGATAAGGAACTATGAGAAGTCAGGAAATGAGAGATGAAACAGACAAACTCCAATCAACATTTTGCTTATCTACATAGCCCTCACAAATAGGTTATATTACTGCTGGTAATGGGCAGGTAATGAATTTTGAACAATGAGGAATGGAGAATCTGGCAGGTCAAATTGGCACTATAGTCTGACAATTTTCAATTGAAGGTAACTCACATACAAATTGAACTGAAAGCTAATGGCAACAATGTTGAATGTTAGAACTAAATTCTTACTCCCTTCTTTCACGAGTCGAGCCAAATTCGGCAATAGTAATGGATAACGCTTCTTATCATAGCCGATTAGTAGAACAGCTGCCAACCATGACCACCAGAAAAGCAGACATGCAGAGTTGGTTAGGACAAAAATGAATTCCATTTTCCCAGGACATGGTTAAGGCAGAGCTTATGAGTGTCATCAAACAGCATCGTGACAGATATCGCCAGCATGTGGTGGAAGGCATCACCATTTTGAGACACCCTCCTTACCATTGCGAGTTAAATCCGATAGCATTAATCTGGGCTCAAATTAAGGGTTACGTAGCTCGTGAATTCGTGACATATAAAATTTCTGATGTCCAACTTTTATTAGAACTCGCAATGGAACGGATACGGAAAGAAGATTGGGCTAATGCTGTAGCCCATGTGATCAATGAAGAAGAGAAAATGTGGAGATTGGACGGAATGGACGGATTGGACGGAATGTTTTCGACCAAATAATAATAGATTTAAGTGTGACTGGGGATACCATTGACACCAGGTAGCACCACCTACTATAACAATTTTTACGTAATTACCTGTGTGTTTAAATAAATAAAAATATTATTTTGGTACGCCTCTGCAGAGTTGGTAAGATGATTATTCGTTGGTCACTTCAAGTGCGACGTTGCTAATGAATCACCTTCAATTGAAAATTGTTATAGTATAGTTGCAACCGGGTATGATGCAGTTGTTACAAAAATGTTCATCCAAAAATTATTTCAGAACGCATGGAACTCAAGTAAATGAAAAATAGATATTTTATTGAATATGAAAATAATATTCCCAAACATTTCAATTTGTTTCAAATGAAGGTTATCAAAAGAACTTTGGTGTCAAATGGATCAGAAGTGTATGCATTGTCGTGTGATTCATGTTTGATGCCTCACATAGGTCAAACTGAAAGAACATTATAAACACGCACAAAAGAACATATCAGCAGTCTCAGGAATGGAAGAATGAATTCAACATACCTCATTACAGAGGAATATGAGCCTAATAATGAATTCAAAACTCATTATTTCCTGAAGAAAGGTGCCAAACTTGACCTTCTAGAAACTAGGAAAATAAATAAGTATAAAAATTTCAAATATCTAATGAATGAATAATTATTATGTAATATTTGGTTCTCAAAAAGATTTTTCTAGTGTCTAAGTATTTACCTGCTTTTACTAATTTATGAAACTATTGAATCCGCTCTTTTCTAGTCATTGAAACAAGATTAGAGTTAATTTTTTCAGTAACATTTCATAATGGTAATCGAAGTAAATCTCATAAGTTAGTTTTAATATGGATTTTCACCAAGTATCGGCCATTTCCATTCAATTCACCAGATATTTATGATAATAGAGAAATGGTGTGTAAGACCATTCACTTTCACTGTACCGAACTATTTTGAATTGTGTTAATGCTAAGTCATCATTCTTTACGTAATCATCATTCTGAGAACCTTGTTTTATATCAGTTGACAGTTTAAATTGATTGACAGATGTCAATTCACGTAGATGAAATCCTAAAAAACGGGTATTAAAATACGCCCGTAATATTGAAAAAAGTGACCTTGGTCCTTCGAGCCGGATTATAAAATAATATCGTGGAATTGAGATAACCCTTACCCCTTTCCTCCCCAAAAAACTCGAAATCACTCGCATTCACAAATCAACCGCGAAAATCACTCAACGAAAGCAAGGATCACTTGAAGGACCGCAAGCAAATCCCAGGTGCGACGCGAAAGTCGGCGAAAAAAGGTACGGAGCTTAAAACCGGCTTCGGCCAGGTTTAGGCCGGATCAGAGAACGTCGCGGCGGAGTCGGGCGTCGGTCTGAGAGCTTTGCGAATACTAAGCTCGCGCTTTCGCCCCCCTCTCCCTTTCTCGGGCCAGGCGCCATGGCCGGCCCTCTAATTTGACACCAGAACGGCCGCCAATCACTCGACGGTATTTATTTTCTCATTAGCGGCGGTAATTGACCCGCGGTCGGAGAAGGAACACTGCGAAAAGCTGGGAAACGGGTTCTGATCAGTTTCTGATGGAACTGAAGTCACTTTGTGTGATTCAACTGACCAAAACTTGATTGATATTTATAATATTCAGTAGTTTGAAAACATTTTATTATGAGGTTTTCTACACGTGTTTCTCTACTCATTCATTTATTGATCCAAACAAGCTGGTCAACCTAATTTCATAGAAATAACAGAAAGAAAATATACAATTTCAGTTTAAACAGATATTAACATGGGAAAGTAGAATATCGTTGACATCGACATAGTTTCTGCTTGACTTTTTCAGTCTGAACCTACTGGCCCTCAACAAATCACATGCTCTAGTCTCATAATCGTGCAAATTACAATTTCTGTTTAATGTTGGTTCATTTTTATGAATATCTATCATGAGTTGAGACAGATACGTAAAAGGTACTGTCATTATTTCCATTGAAAGGAAATGAGGTCTACAGGGGTCTAAGAAACTAGCCCCAGATAATATCTTTACGGTTTTTTTGTAACATAAATATCCTATTTGCGTTAGTACTGTTTCCCCAAAGAATTGTTCCATATGAGATGTGAGAATGGAAAAAAGCGTAGTAAGCCGATAATAGCGCCAGTTGATTGATTACATCTTTCAATTTCCGAAGAAGAAATGTGTATTTCGGCAGTTTAATGCTAAGTTGTTCAATGTACTCTAACCAGTTCAAAGAAAAGAGATCATTTATATAGATTGTGAATAAAAGAGGACCCAGAACCGAGCCTTAAGAACTCCACATGTAACTGGTTTTTAAGGCAAACACATTGTTTAAGTCAATTGACACGTACTGGTATCTGTTTGTCAGATATGAAGAAATAAGTGACAGGGGGTTTCCTCTTATGCCATAGTCATCTAATTTTTTCAGTAGAATGAAATGGGAGATGCCATCGAATGCTTTTCTTAGATCACATAAAGCAGCAATAGTGTGTTCTCCTTTTTCAAAGCAAGTTATTATGTTTTCGATTACTTTCTTGACCGTTCTGGCGGATGTCAAGGATCCTAGATTGGGAGTATAACAAGTCAGAAATATCGAAAGGGTTAGTTAGTTCAGTAAAGAGAAAATGAGAACATGTAGTTTTCGACGATCTTGCATTTTTAACAATTTTGCAGATCTTTGCTTCTGAGATATTGGATCATATTATTTCCTATACAACTGATATCGTCATGAACTAAATATGGTCCATACAGAACATCACAAAAGTCAAAGTTCCTGAAGGGTATCACTTAAGGTTTTTCAAGTGATTGTGAAAGAATTTGTCTGTAGGGATAAAGCATTTTCAATGAACACTAAGCCTTTTGCAAAAAAGAGCCGATTTGTTTTCCAAACCAAAGTTTTGTATCTAAGTCTAAACTTAGATTTATATGATGTTCGTTTTCTCAAATATCATTACTTTAGACTTGAGTGCGTTGATTTTCAACTTATGCGCTGCTAATCGGTTTATATCTTCAGATATAACCTCTTGAGCCTCAACCCAATCTTCTGGAGCATATAGTTATAACATCGTGACCAAAATTGATCATATGTCACGATTGTGAGAGGTTGAAAACCTTGAAAATTAGAATACATAGTCTCCTCCACAAAAAATAGTTCTCGAAAATTATCACTATTAGTTTTGCTACTGATCCTCACTAGTTGAAAGAAGTACAGTTTTGAACAATTTAGATCATTTATTTTCGATGAATTGCTGGGAAATGTGTAAAGTCTCACACTGTCTCCTCCTATCCAGTCATAAATTCCGAATTTCCAGTTGTAAAGGATCCTTGAGAAACCTCCGTTACACCAAAAACAAAACATCGGCTCTCCTGAGAATCGCCCACGTAATTGTTTCAATAAAAATGTGAGTCCGTTTGAAACAATGTATCTGCAAAGCCGTTCTTTCGGCTATTAAACCGATGACCAGAGCTGTGAAATCTGTCTGGATATGTAGAAAAGCAGCCCGGTAAGTCTGGAGAAATCCGGGTCGATCTGTCCGACTCATCGCAAAGCTCGAAGACTTAGCTTAACACTCCCGGACTTAAGTCGGCCTTCTGACGGTTGATAATAATAAAGTAATGAGCTTTCGAGTTTCAACTCGAGATTAGAATGAATTAATTAATGTCTCGGTTGGATTTGCTCATGAATAGAGCGGCGTTTTATGGAATTAGGAGGTTTTTGAAAGAAAGTGTGGCACAATGTTAGTTTTTTCAATTGATCGAACATGTTCAAAACTTAATTATTTGGTTGAGGATAAATTTATGGAAAGTAGATTGAGTCAGTACAATCCAAGTTCAACTCTTCATCAAAATTGTTAGCTAGGTACAAAATAGTTGCTAGAGGAGCTCTGTAATCAAGGGCAGGTCAAGCTTTGTTCTAAGTAGGGGGAGGGTAACAAAAATCAATTTTGATTATGGTAGGCATTAGTAAAAGTAGGTATTTTATTATTAAGTGTAAGTACTGTACCTATGAGTAACTACAACAACATTTGAGTTTGAACACACAAACAATGGCATAATGAAGAAACTGACTGCTTGCTTCAAACATATTGAGCGATCATCAATATGGCTTTCGGAAACAAAGATCAACAGGCGGCCTTCTGTCGTATGTCACCCATATTTGGAATACCGCAATCGAAAAACATGGAGAATCAAAAGCTATTGCGCTTGATATTTCTGAGGCATGAGGGTTTGCTGGCCAAACTTTTTTGCAAGTGGCTGTCGATGGATACCTCTCAAATACTTTTACCATCGACGCTGGTGTTCCCCAGGGATCCATGTGTTGGTGTCCTGTACATTCAATGGACCAATGTACTATGTACATGTCTATTCACAAGAAAATTCAAGAAGGCTGTTTATTCGAATCGTTGGTTGATGAATATTACAGAAAACTTGGTAGTATCCTTGACCATTTATCAGGAAAGGTCTCTTTGAGGAATCTGTGAAGCCTGAAGGTAGCTTACTTATAGTTATCTTCTAATAATCCTTACTTGTTTAGTGGAATGCAGTTCTGGTGAGGAACATGTGTGTGTGTGTGTGTGTGTGATTTTTGAAGTGGAAGTATAATGCAGGGTACCAAATACCTCATAAGACCCAAACTTGCTATCAAAGAGCCTTACTGCAATTCTTGTGCATCTTTAGTACAAATTCTATAATATTTTTCTTGTTTTCCTCTGTAAACTAGTGTTTTCGAAACTCTTTTTTGTAACAACTTCTCCCGAAAAACATAGCTCGCCGAACTTGAACATATAGCAAAAAATTATCAACAAATTTTCAAGCTGGCAACGGGTACACTTTTCTAAAATTTGAAAGAGCCTTCCAAGTCTCCTTGAACCTGGTGTTTCTGATTCAACAACCGAAACAGCTGTTGAACAGGTTGCCAGATAAAATTTTTCAACGTTCAAAAACTGCAGTTCAAAGTCACATTAGAAACGGGGAACGCCACTCACGAAACAAAATGGTTAGACAAATATTGGCGTACAAGATAACTTGTCAATAAACACTATGAAATATTCGTAGGCAAAATTTTATAGCACATGTGGCTCCCAGATAACGGATGATTTACAGTTGACATTCTCTCAAAAAGTGCTAATTTATAACGGCACGTCACTTTTGCGTGACTGCTCATTTTACTTCCATTAAAGTACCATATTTGGAAACGGCAGATAATGCACGATTGGTGCTTGAATCAATTGGAAATAGATCCTACGCAATATGGGGGTGTTTACAGTTCCATTACAACGTGCTAGCGATCGTACGTTAAAAGGTAAGACCTCGTAATTCAGCATCTCCCACAATTTCTGACTTTTGAGAATGTAATATCAACAGATTACACCCGACAAGTTCGTGACCAGTTGGTAGCAGAAATGGTCATTTCTCACTAAATATCTCGAATAGTAGATATTTCATGAAGATCACTTCCTTAATTTTCGGTGATTTGTCTGACCTCTTCTGTTGACCAGTTCCGGCTGCTGCTGATGCAATTTTGATATATTTCATCAATTTCCTCACAATAGGACTCTGCTAGGATGGTTTAGCATAGTTGCAGAAAGTAAATAATGAATCATATCAGCCGCTGACCACCATACAGTAACCATGGTCTTTTTCAGTGGGTTTTTACGTTTCGGAAGTGTCTGAGTAGCTTATCGGTATCCAACTACTGTTCTGAACATTTCCCCTTATTGTAAAGGATCCATTTTTCATCACATGTGGTGGTCTGATCCAAAAAGGATCGTTTTCATTGCGCGTTATGAGTTATGAGAACAGACCTTGGAACATGAATTCAGGAGAGTATGAAATGATTCTTTAACACATCACTATAATTGACAAGACAGACTTTGCCCTTATGGATCTTTTGGGAAGTAAAAAATCCAATATTCGATGAATGGTTGAAACTACAAATTGTTTCGAAATAATTCATCTTCAACATATATAGATTGATGCGGCAGAGTTTTATTTAAAAACTATTCAATTTTGGAGTTTTTTCCAAGATCATAGTAGCAACTGATAAAAAATTAGAAGTCCTTTCGATTTACGTGTCACTCAGTTTCAATTCATATTCAAATAAACAAACTTGACGTGTTTTAAAATTTTTTCGAATAGTTATTTTCCCAGCTGTTTAGCCTTGGGCTACGTTTATGATCGCCTACTTTCATTAATCAATAGGTATTAAGTTTTTTCAAGAATTCGCACTCATAGGATTGAATTTTGAGAGATTTCAGTCAATAGAGAAATAGGGTAATTTCTGTTGCCCGTCACTCTTTAAAAAGTAGACGGAGCATTTTATAAACCAAACAGTAAACGAGTAAATTCGTTAATTCCGTTCTCTACTGAAAATTCTATCATTGAAATGACTTTCTTTGCTTTCAATTTCATGAAAAATGTCGTAACCATTCAGATTGATATACATCAGCTGACAATGCATATCTTAGCTGACAACAAAAAATTTTGTGTCTTCAGGTGTTGATGAAAATCTGAAGAAAATTTTAGCTTGACTTTATAGTAATAACGATGTCGAAGCAGAATACAGTACCAATATTTGTATCGATTAATTTTTTGAGTAGAAAATGGAGAGCAATATAATGAAAAATTACATATAATGCGAATTACGTGAGAACAATAATTTTTGGTTATTTTTTCAATCGAAGAAGCGAATACTCTCAAAGTCAAAGTTCAAATGAAATCCAGTATGTTGTAGAATGTACAGTCACATCTGTTATCAATTTCTGATGACCATTTTTTCCAAAATCAATACTTTCATCGTTCTACAACTTAACCTCCTCTATCACTTCCGACGGTCAGATAAAAAACAGTTGGGTACAACTACAATATATGACATATGATCATTTTCGAAGTCAGAATTGAAAAATGTTGATATAGAATGAATGTACCGGTATATGAACTATTTTTTTTACAGAATTGAATAATTATATTCGTATAAATGATGTTTCGATATGTTTCGACATATATTCAACGTAGTGAGTATGCTTTTCATTACTCTCCTCAATTTCAGTTTTTTATCGTTTTGTTTTATAGCAATTCATAGCAGAAAAATATGGAGTTCTATGGAAATAACTGAACTCTGATGATTCCACAAAATCATCACAAAATAGAAAGAGGAAACGCTTTCCTACTTTTGGAGAACTTCATTAGTCGATGACTAATGACATTTCCATTTAAATTTTTGTAACGTTGGTAATTAAATGATCTTTCAGTCATGTTTTTGAGCTACCACCAGAACCATCAGTTATGAGAAACCAATTTCATCAATTACTAATGTTGCTAGAATATAGGCATTCTGCATATTCAAGACAAGCACAATAGGATGTTCAATTATTATTAGTTTAGCTCAGAGTATGAATGAATTATAAGGCTTTGCTATAGGCGATGGTTTATGGCAGGCATAGGAACGTAATTCACGAAGCGACGGTATAGGTGAAGGAGTGAAGTTACTACAATGAAAAATTCACATAAAAACTATAGTTGTCATTTCTGAATCAGATGAACCACCCCAAAATGATGAGATTCAGTTTTTATTCGATTTCTCATACATATTTCATACCTGGATATTTTTATCCGACGGTAAAACTGTCGATGTCATAAAGGTTAATGAATCAATTTTTTTTCAGAAGCAAGTTTTGCTGAGGGAAACAGTATTAGCTATCTTGCTCTAGGTACCATTCAAACCAGAATAAAGAAAAAACATTACTAGGAGATAGATTATATAGTCAATAGTACTTACACTGTCACTGATCCAAATTTTTTGGAAAATGGTATATAACTTATGAGAATTATTTGTTGGTATCAGAAAATTAAGGTTATTTTTGATACATGCAAAGTCCAAAAGTTGAAGTATATCAAAGTGAACGCATGCTCTTATTCCTTCCGAAAAGGCTAAACTGTGAAAATACACATACCTTTCAAGGGAAGACGTCTGCACCGGATCGTCACAAACAGAAATCACAGTCTATCACAGTGTTCGCACTACAAAAATCCGAAACACAGCCTCAGAAATCTTCGAAGACGACTCAGAATTCCCGTCATAAAGATATGTCAGTCCGGAAAGGAGACGTTATCTTACAAATCACTGCCAAGTCGCAAAACGCAGCGGTTTCCACAAAATCCTATGAAAGTATTAAAAAGTCTTAAGCGCTTAGCGTCCGTACAGGATATCGAGTTAGGACTTGATGCTGTAAAGTCTCCGTAATCTGGCCACTTCCCAACGCGGTTTAACTACTCTATATATCATCGTAGGGCTACGCTGAACCTCAGCCGAGTGAGACTGCCGATCGGCAAAGTTCGAGTCTGTCATCTCTCTCGCTCGGACCGGGTTCATCATTTCCCCTCTTCATGTGGCAGATATCGGAATATCTTGGCTACGCCCCCGTTGCTGATTTAGGGAGCATGCGTGCGTATGTCATGTTTCGAGTCGGTTTATCCTTGTCTAGTGCGTTTGACAGGTTATTTTGCATTGCTCATAGTTCTATTGACGGGAGGCGGGATCTGTATGGAAGGCGCTAAGTCAAGAGAATCATGAAACAGATAGTTGGACTGTGGTGTATTGATACAGGATTAGTTTTGTTTGTGGTTATGCGACGATTCTTAATTTTGGGACTTAATAGTTTGACGATTACAGGTTCTTGTTGTTTTGATTGAAGCTTATACAGTTATAATCGCTGAGGGATCACATATAATGTCGGCAAATAAATAATAAAATGGATGGATTGAGATCATAACTCTGAAATGCAGTTTGAGGCTAGAGAGTAACATATTTAGGTGATGTCATTACAGATTCACGCTTGGTCAATATATAAGTATGCATCCCTGCAATCCACACAAAATATTAATTTGGAGCCCAATGATATGAACCAATCAATAATTTCATATAGACATCCAGAACAAAAATATGAAACGATGACGCCGCCAGCTCGAAATCCACACCAAACAGTGACTTTTTCGTGATGCATTGGACGCTCTTGGATCTCATGTGGATTGGTATCGTCCAAAATTCGACAATTCTGCTTGTTCACGTACCCATTCATGGAGAAATGTGCCTCATCGCTGAAGAAGCAGTTGCCAATTGCTCCAGAACCCATTCAGCGAACATACGTCGTTGTTTATGGTTGTTCACCTTCAGTTCTTGGTCAGTTGAATTGTGTACAGGTACAGGCTCAAATCATGACGCAAAATTTTAAAAGTTATGGTTTGCGAAAGATCGATTTCTTGTATGCGACACGAAATCGACTGCTTTGGATTTCCCGCACACTCTCACAAACAGCTGCATTATTTTCAGCAGATCTTGCGTTTCGTCAACGTACAAATGTTGGTTGATCGTTTACTAAACCAGTATACTCAAATTTATCGAGCATCTCGGTAGGACGGTTATGATTACCTACTGTAAAATGGATGAAGCGTACGATACGCTGTCGGAACAGTCAATTTCTGATTGCAATCTCAGATTTGGAATTTCAGGTTTGAAATGGGAATCTCGGGCTCAAAACAAGATTTTTTACTCAAAAGTCTGTTCTTTGTTGGAATGTTGACTTCAATACAGTTCAAATTTGTTTGGAGAGGAATTGTTTCAAATGAGGGTTAACTTTGTTCTTTTTCTGTCTATCAAAGTCAGTCATCAATCATTTCTTTCTATCGCTGAACCAATCACTAATTTACCACTAATTTCCACTCAGGTGTGTTTGCAAAAGAAGATATTTGCACAATCGGCTGGACTAGTTATATCGTTTTACTTATGGAATCAGTAAAACAGACCACTGAGTCAGATGCTACAAATGCAATACGCATAGATACAGACGGCTCAAAAACCAAAGAAGGCTCAGGATGTGGAGTGTACTCCAGAACACTGAGCCTAAGGATTGAGTGGGAAATAGGAAAAAATACCAGCGTGGTCCAAACAAAACTGGCTGGTATCTCAATCGCCACTAAATAATCAGGAAAGGAATTTCTGGCAAAAACATAACAATCTGCACTGATAGCAGACACGCCCTATTATCCTTATCGTCAATAAGAGAGTGTGTGTTCGGTGAGTCTTGGCCTACACCTGCTGATATAAAGGAGATATCTCCCAGAGATCTGTTTACCTTTCTGGAAAGGACAGGATGAACGATGATCTAGGAGGACAACTCCTTGGGAGGATGTATAATGGGTCAAATGTAGCCTAAGAGCTGTGGCCCCTTCACTAACCTTTCCTACACTACAGATACAGATCCCTATCGAATCAGATTCTTCACTGTAAACCAGTACACAAGAATATATACTTGCTAAAAAAATCTAATCAATTACTGGGGCAATATAGGTAGCCGGATCTCTAGATATACAGAGAGAGAGGAAGGTTTCCATTTGTTATCTAACGACAAAAAACAGTATTGAAGATCCTTGGTCAGCGCTAAATAGTCCTGAATACTCTTTTTGTTTCAATGCATACACCTGTAACAAAAGGTGAAAAGCTAGTTAATAACCAAGCCCAAGCTATGCAGTTAGTAGAATAGATAAAGTTGTATAAGAGTCGGTTCATCGGGTGCTAAAAGAAGAAGATTTCAAGTTTTCACTTATTCATAATTAAGTGAAATAGACGAAGGTAATTTAAATTTCATAAAAAAAACAAGGATCTCAACGGGAAACACAGAAATACACGTATAAAAAATCAAATGAACACCAGTCTTATATCATCATCACCAAATAAAAGTCCTCCCTTTCTAGTGAAAGACTGTCTGAATGTATTAGTTTATCCCCTACAAATTATTTTCATTCTCATTTTAAGAACATCTGTTTTTCCTGAAATCTTAAAAACTACCAAAGTTCGTCCAATACACAAAGCTCAAAATCGAAACGAAATCAGTAACCACAGACCTATCTCAATCCTTAACAACTCTACCAAACTTTTAGAAACAATCCTGTATGGCCATATCTATCGGTCCTCTCGACATTTAATATTTACTCATCAGTATGGTTTTATGAATTCCACAATTACGAATCTAGCTGTTCTTAAGCAATATCTGTGTGAACCTTCAGTTTGTAGAGGGCAAGTCGATGTGGTGTACACAGACTTCTCCAAAGCATTCGGTAGTATCCAATGACCAATGACCACTCCCCACACCGTGGGGTAAGTGATCATTGGGTCCGAGAATCATATGTCCTGAGCAAGATTCGAGAGTAGAGAGGACATCATTCCACCAAGGACTCCAATAATCAGAACAACCATCTTGACAAAGTGATCTGGATAGAGTCTGCGGTGTTGAAAGAGAAAATCTCGATATTTTATCCGTTTTTCCTCCTCTTTTCTGACGATATTCGCCTCGCCAGGAGCTGAAAACTCCACGACAAATATGTGCCGTAGATAGTAATATAGCACTCTTAGGGTCGCGTTATGTCGGTGGATATAGGCCGAGATCGCATATGCTGGACATGCTGATAGCAACTGCATTAGGGTCTCGGGCGCCTCGCGGTAGGCCCTGCATCTTGTGTCATGAACCTCTATACCCATCACGCGACTGCGGTAGACTAAGTTGTTGAAGACACCATCCTGGCAAGCCATGATGAACCCATATTATTATTATTATAAAACTGCAGTTGTATCGATTATATCACCTTCAGATGAGTTTTCATGTTCAGTACATTATAAACAAGATTTTTTCTACATAATTCCTACATATAATGGACTGCTACAACCGCTATTGTAATTTCACACTCAAAACAGTAGTTACTTTTGCTCAAAGTTATTTTTTCTGAATTAACACACTTCTTTACAGTGTTCCGATAAAACACTTTCCTCATAATAGAACTGAGGAGATGACTGAATATCACTATGTTGTTTCTGAACTGTTATAACAGCATGGGACATAAACAAAAATTAAAAGAGCGCAGAATGCATGTATTGCCTGCGGTGTATAGAGTTACTTTTTTGAAACTGACTGCTTCTTTCCTTTCTTTGAGAGATTCCCACATTTTCTTGTATCAAAAATTAATCTCTCTTAAAAATATAACCCCTTCAATTTAAACAAGAAGTATACAAGAAGAAGAGGGAGAAACGTCTACTAGTCTGACCAAAACAATCATCCAAATTTTCGAAAATATTCTTCATATCAAATTGGAAGTGATAGAAATCACGAACATATACAGATTAGGAAGAAGGAGTAACTCAACAAGACCCGTGCTATTAACACTACTCTCGAATCCAAAAATAATATTATATACAGAGTGTTCCATTTGAAAAATCAAAGTTGCTACTGCTTGCTAATAGAAGCGGCAACACCGCATTGTCGAAAATATTTTAGTTGGCTATATAATTTTCGAATATGCCCTCCATTAAATTTTCAAAGTGATCCGTTGTCTGGTTCACCAGAAACGTCCAATGTGCCATCCACCGTGAATCAGCCTGTATATCGTATAGAACTAATGACCTCTTCGAATCCTTCGACATCCAGCCTGGTTACTGGCGTAGGGGCCCGCCAGTCCTCTCTTATTTCACTTCAATATTTATTGAAACACATATTCATTTTAGATTACAGTTTATTTTGAGCTCACGCCTTTTGTGCTCCACTCCGACGACGACATCCACGTGTCATCTTCAAGGGCGGTCGTTATCAGCACAACTGTTCTGTGTCGCGATCGAAGAGGCAGTCCAACTTGTGTTTTCATCTGAAAAAAGGGTTTATTGTGGCTCATACCTATTCACAATCGACCGAATAAACCCAGCTTCTTAACGAAGCCGATTAGTTTGTATGGTGAGTGGTCTTTCAGGTCAGATGGTGAGGGTACGGTTCTGCCGAACTCTTTGAACCTGATTCTGTCCCCAGCTGGACAATCCTGGAAGATTCTGCCAGAAGTCCACAAATCTTCTTGTCATCCAGGTGTTCAATCTTTGTTTGGCAAAGCCTATGACAGGTTTGGCAAAACCTAAAGCGATGCCAATGTCAGGTTCTGGTCCGATGACAGGTTCTGGGTGCTTGGAGCCCCCTTCTTTGCCAAGAAGTCAGCAGCCTCGTTGCCTCTAGGCCAGTATGGCCAGGAATCCAGACCAGAGACAATCTGTTAAGTCTTTCGATCGAGGAGAGTCGTTTTTGACAATTTGCTACCGATTTAGACGTTGCTGTATAGGAGCCAAGAGCTTCCAACGCCGCATAGGTTCCTAGACAGTTGGATATCTCTGTCCTAGGTCTGCGACTGAAAACACCTGCACCAGAACGGGACGGTGTTTTTGATCCATCTGTGAACCAACAACTATCCGCTTTTTTCACAAACTATACCGGAAAAGATGTGATCTTCACAAATTTTATTTCCAAAAATATCAGAGTAGATCATTCACTACGAAAAACTACTGTGGTAGTGAAATATGTCAAAAATGTGATATTTTTTAAAATAAAGTTTGTGTAGTTTGTGATTTATTCTCAAATCACTTAAAATTGTATTAATTGTTATTCTTACATTCTAAGTCTTAAAATAAATAGTATGTATGGTTTCCATTTCATATTTGAGAATAAATGATTTGATTTGATTTGATTTGATTTGATTCCTTTGGCTGGGACTCAAATAAGCGAATGAATGTCATTACGATGTCATCGATGACATGAGTAGATCAAACTCGTTCCGTGACATGAAGTCGTGATTTATGTCTGAATTGTGTATTTTTTTCTTATAATGTTATCCA